GCCTCCTCCTGACTAGTCGAGACGGTTATGGCATTATAGCTAATTTGCATATTACCTAATATATGTGTATATATATGTATATTTTATTATAGAATAGTTGGCATACAATCTAACATTGTTTGTATTAGTCACAATATAATGACTCAGCATGTTTATCCCTCACAATGGCAGCCCCAATAATGACCTGGCAATCACCTGTCACTGTGCAAACTTCTCACAGCATTACCGACTCTGTGCCCCTGTCCCTTTTCACTCAACCCCAAACACTTTCAATAAGACATTCTAATTCTTCAGGTTTTAAATTAAAAAGACTTTTGAACGCAGGATTATATGGTATTTTACCACATTTTCTGGCGTATAAGACGACTTTTGAAACAAAAAAAAGTCAACCGAAAATCGGGGGTCGTCTTATACTCCAAGTATATCCCGAAAAATGTCTCGATATGCTGCTAAACGAATTTTCCAACTTGATCCCGAAAATCGTCTGGATATGCCACTAAACAAATTTTCCAACTCGATCCCGCACCAATCACTGCAAGGCTGCTCGGACCGCCTCTCTAACTCAGCCAATCCAAGCAGGCTTTTTATGCATGCAAATTATACATGTTCTGTACCCGAAGCTACACTGTGTTCTAGTAAAAAGCCTGCTCAGATTGGCCAGAGTCAGAGAGGCGGTCTATTAAAAAAAGAACTGGTGTTGCCTCAGAAGTGGGGGGTAGTCTTATACAGGGAATATAGGCCTAAACCTATGTTTTAACTGTAAATTTAGGGGGTAGTCTTATACGCCAGAAAATACGGTAATCAAAGTCTCCTGTAATATTGATGCCTAGAAATGTTGCAATAAATAAACATGGCAGCAAGGATGTGACTGAGACAAAAACAGAAATATCATAGAGATTAGCCGCCAGCCTTCTGCGAATTTCCCCAGCTCCTGAGGAAACCCAGTGAGAGCCCAGGGTTCAAGGTGAAGGGCTACTGGAGTGTGCCCACATCTGGGGCTTGGTATTTACCATTGTGTGTGCTTCCCATGACCTTAACATGTACCCAGGGCTTTTTATTGTGGTGGTGCTGGTTTTTGTTTGTTCTGTTCTGAGGTTTATAAGTGTCAGAGGCAAGCTCCTCAGTCTGGACTTGACCCTTCTGAGTGAGAGAATTGGAAGAACACCAGGTTACAAGCAGACATATGGGACATGCTTTATTACACACAACAGCAGCCACTGTAGGCTGGTCAGTGGCTCCTACATACATACCCAAACACACTCAAAGAAAAGAGGTTTTTGCAAATAGAAACATCAGTATTTTAGTGCAGAAAGGCACGTGGGTGCAATGTATGGCTTGCCGCAACGTTGCCTTGCTCCTGCACATAGCAACTCAACCTTGAACACTTTGATTAGAATTTCCACACTCAGAGTGGCCTTGAACACCCAGGTTCTCTAGACAAGGCCCTACAAGGAGTAACATTTTTTTTTCTTCTCTCTCTCTCTCTCTCTCTCTCTCTCTCTCTCTCTCTCTCTCTCTCTCGCTCTCTCTCTCTCTCTTAATACAGAGAGGAAGGGAGAGGAATAGAGATGAAAACATCAGTGATGAGATGGAATCATTGTTCAGCAGTCCTCTGCAGGCCTCACACTGGGGATCCAGCCTGCAACCCAGGCGTGTGCCCTCACCGTGAATTGAACCCTGACCTCCTGGTTCATAGGTCGATGCCCAAGCACTGAGTCATGCAGACCAGGCATAAGTTAGATTTTTGAAAATACATTTCCCTCTCCTGTGAATGTACTCACTGTTTTCAAACACAACAGATTTGCTGAGTGACTGAAGGATTAAATTCTGTCTGCCACAGCTGTAGAGAGAATCTAACAGCATAGACTCAAGCACACATATTTGACCAAAGTACACCAGTCTAAACAAAATATCTTCATCTTATATTATTCTCTGACAATATTATTTGATCCTAGGAAAGCATTGGTATTTCAGTCAATCTGTTTTATATTTCATAAAAAATATATGCCCTGTGTTGCCCCATTTTTATCAGGAGAAATTCAGATCTTGCTGCATCTCAGTGGATAGAGGATCGGTCCTATGGACTCAAGGGTCCTGAGTTCGATTCCAGCCAAGGGCACATGCCCAGGTTAGAGGCTCCATCAGCAGAGGGGGGCATGAAGGAGACAACCAGTCAATGAATGATTCTTTCTCATCCTTGATGTTTCTATCTCCTTCTCCCTCCTCCTTGCTCTCTGAAATTAAAAGCAAAATTGAAAACATGAACCAATTTTGAATGAATGGAAGGATTGAATTGTGCAATATTAGTTGAGGTAAATAAGATCTGTATGTTGATAAATAGATAGGTATGTTAAATATTCATTGTTCTTTGTTGTTGCCTTACATCTGAATATTTTATGAATAAAATTGAGATTGAAAAATTTAAATCACTAGACCTTTAAAAAATTTTGGCATTTAAGTGTAGGCTTATTAATCTTTCTATTTATTTCTGGCCTCTCTGCGAGCTTGTGAGTGTGAGAAGGAAAAGAAAGATTGTTAGCAAGGAAGGGCGCTTCCCCTTGGACAGGGGAGTGGATGTGCCCAGAACCACGTCCTCATAATGGTGTTTCATAAACAAAACAAAACCATTCTCTGTGTTCAAGTTCAATGCTTTATTGGAAGGTGAACAGACAACCCAATCAGTTCTGACAGCAAAGGTAGAGGATCCCAGGCTTATGAGGGACATGCAGGCACAGTTGAAAATCTACCCATAATTCTGAGAAGTAAAGACATTTGTGGAATAACCAGCATGAGGTTAGCTGTCCGGTTACTTAGATCCAATGTGGGAGGAAGTCCCTTGTGAGTTGAGATGCTGAGCTGCTGGGCAGGATCTCAGTAGAAGCCAGAGTATCCGTATCCCCCACAGCAGCACGGGCGCCAGCAGCCACAGCCATACCTTCTGTAGCCACAGCCACAGCCCAGGCCACCAAGGCCGCCCCAGCCCCAGCCGGAGCCATAGCCATAGCCACGGCCACCCCAGCCGTAGCCGAGGCCTCCGTAGTAGCTGCCATAGTAGCTCATGGTGTCAGGGGAGTGTGTTTCTGTTCAAGATGAGATCCTGAGAGTGAGTGCCAGCGAGTGGGGAGGAGGGAGCTTATATACCCGAGCCAGCAGGTGTCTGATCACGTGTAGCCCATCTTGAGTTATTTTTATTGTTATTGCATCTGCATAGCGAAGTCATTAATTCTCCCTGCCCTCACTCAGGAGGGCCCGCCCACTCATTAAAATGTCTGAAATGTCTTTGTAGTTGAGGTGGCGTGGCCCTTCCAGGTCGTTTTATCACTTGATCAGCTCACCATGGTCCACACGTTACACATATGTCAGATCAGTGTCTCTCGGGGGAGCCGTGGGGAGGTCGTTGCATCAGGCCCGAGAAGGCATCCATGTTTTCAAATGTGGGCGTGCCAGACGGGGACAGTCTTCACGCCCCGCCTGCCAGTCCCATCCTGTCCGTGTCTCATTAAAAGCTCCTTCCCCCTGGTGTCTTAGCTGCTGCGCTTCCTCTAGATGCTGTCGGTCACTTAAATCGAAGAAACAGGTCAGATGCGCAGCTCTGTGCTTTACTTCTCCTTTCACAGCGCCTTCCCCTCCGTTTGGAAAGAGGGCTCCATCTTGTTCAGAGAGGGGAGCAGGCCCTGGAGGGGCAGCGAGAACCCACGGATGCCCGGGAGCTCCAGCGGAACCCGAGGAGGGAGCCCAAGACCTGTTTCCTTTCCTCTCAGAACAGTGACCGTTGTAACGGGATGCTTTCCACTCTTCACTCTGCTGTGCGGAATGGAAACCATTGTTTGTTACAACCGATAGCCAGTACTGGTACATAATGATTACATAAGTCCATTGGTTATGACTTTTTTAAATATATTTTTATTGATTTCAGAGAGGAAGATGAAGAAGAGAGAGAGAGATAGAAGCATCAATGATGAGAGAATCACTGATTGGCTGCCTCCTGCACGCCCCACACTGGTGATCAAGCCTGCAATCCGGGCCTGTGCCCTGACCAGGAATTGAATCGTGACCTCCTGGTTCATAGGTCAACGCTCAACCACGGAGCTGCACCAGCCAGGGGGTTGTGTACTCTTTGGTCTTTGTGTTGTTCCACGGGCTTCTTTGCACATTTCATCTCAGTAACGTTGTTCTGAGACACAGAGCCGATGGCCGTGACCAGGCCTGCCGTCCAGAGGACGGGAAAGGCTGATCAGAGCTCGTCCTCCACATCGGCTCCCTCCTCGGGGATGAGTCCCTCCCAGGGGGCCTCGAGGCTGCCACCCTCCCATGGGTCTCTCCGCCACTGCCGCCTCCCCTCTCCCCCATGTCTCTCACACACTGTGTGATATCCCCTTCTACATAAAACGGCTTCGTCTCCTGAGCCGTGTAAAGAGCACAGGAAGGCTCAGCAGGAAGCACAGAGATTCCCACACACCCAACATGGCACTTCCCCCTGTTGTGAAGCACAGAGACTCATCCAGCTCAGGAGACTCAGGAGTCGTAATGAACGGACCCACGTGGTCGCTGCGGGAATCAGAGCCACAGGGTGGGACTGGCAGGCGGGGCGTGAAGACTGTCCCTGTCTGGCACGCCTGCATTTGAACACATGGATTCCTCCTCTGGACCTGATGCAACAACCTCCCCGGGGCTCAGCAAGGTCTGAGTGATACTAAGCTGACATACATGTAACGTGTGGACCATGGTGAGCTGATCAAGTGATAAAACGTCCTTGAAGGCCACGCCACCTCAACTACAAAGACATTTCAGATATTTTAATGAGTGGGCGGCCCCTCCCTAAGTGAGGGCAGGGAGAATTAATGACTTCGTTATGCAGATGCGATAACAATAAAAATAACACAAGACGGGCTACCCATGACTCAGCACCTGCTGGCCCAGGTTTATAAGCTCCCTCCTCCCCACTCGCTGGCACTCACTCTCAGGATCTCATCTTGAACAGAACACACTCCCCTGACACCATGAGCTACTATGGCAGCTACTACGGAGGCCTCGGCTACGGCTGGGGTGGCCTTGGCTATGGCTATGGCTCCGGCTGGGGCTGGGGCGGCCTTGGTGGCCTGGGCTGTGGCTGTGGCTACAGAAGGTATGGCTGTGGCTGCTGGCGCCCGTGCTGCTGTGGGGGATACGGATACTCTGGCTTCTACTGAGATCCTGCCCAGCAGCTCAGCATCTCAACTCACAAGGGACTTCCTCCCACATTGGATCTAAGTAACCAGACAGCTAAGCTCATGCTGGTTATTCCACAAATGTCTTTACTTCTCAGAATTATGGGTAGATTTTCAACTGTGCCTGCATGTCCCTCATAAGCCTGGGATCCTCTACCTTTGCTGTCAGAACTGATTGGACTGTTCACCTTCCAATAAAGCATTGACCTTGAACACAAAGATTGGTTGTTGGTTTATTCATGAAACACAATTATGAGGACGTGGTTCTGGGCTCATCCACTCCACTGACCAAGGGGGAAGACATCTTCTTGGCTAAAAATCATTTTTCTTCCACATTCACAAGCATGCTGAGAGGTAGAAAAATAGATATAAAGATTAATAAGTCTACTCTGAAAGGAAAAACATGGTTTTGAAATGTGAGTGGCTTTATATTTATCCATATCTTGCTTCTATTTAGATAATATTCAGATCTAAATCAACAAGAGAAAGCAAGACAATGTAACACCATATATTTTCTTATCAAACTTGTGTTTTCTGTAACTACTATTTCTCAACTCAGTCCTCCCATTTGTTCAAGTGATAACAGAACCCGGTTTATCACGGGCTGATGGAGGAAGCTACCCGTCTGCACACAGTCTTGTTCTGTGAAATCTCACCCGGTGGGTTGGGCTCTGAGGACATGATCTCAGTCAACTTTGTCATCAAGCATCTGACCCAGAAACCAACCATGGATTGGGGTGAATTTCTTCCATATGAGGTTTTTGAACACCAACATTTTAACTGAACATGTATGTTCCCTTTCCTCTGCTCTCACTGTGTCTCACTGGCATCCTTCATCACCACCATCACCATACTGAGGCATTAGCTTCAATCCCATCAGGGAAAGAAATAGCAAGAGGTAATTGTGAGCTTGTTTATGTCTTAACTGAGACTGATGACAAACACAGTTGAAAGCTCTCTTAGAAATCTGGATTTCAGTGAAATCTGAATTCTGCTGATAAAATGAACAGGAACAGATATTGATACAATCTCTCTATATAAAAGGCTAATATGCGAAGTGTCTCCTTGGGAATTTGACCAGGAGACCAGGAGTTCGATCATTTGCTATGATGTGTGCTGAACACTAATGGGCGGTGCCAAATAAAGGAAGGTCCTGGCCAGCAGCCGGAAGGCCCTGATCGGCCCTGATTGCTGGCCAGGCCTAGGGATCTTACCTGTGCACAAATTTCATGCACCAGGCATCTAGTTGTTTGTGGTTTGTTTGTTTTTTTAATAAATCTTTATTGTTCAGATTATTACAGGTGTTCCTCTCCTCCCCCCTTAGCTCCCCTTTACCTGATTCCCAACCCCACCCCATGCCCTTACCCCCACCACTTCATCCATAGTTGTAAGATTTTTGTCCAATCTCTTCACACACCTCTCAGACCCCTGTGAATTGTTAGTCCAATCCCTTTCCATGTCCCTGATTCTATTATATTCACCAGTCCATTTTGTTCTTCAGATATTTTTTTTTTAATTCTCTTGATTTTTAGAATCGCTTGTTGGTAGGTATGTATTTGATGCCTTTTTGTTGTTCATAATTTTTTACCTTTACCTTTTTCTTCTTCCTCCTCTTATTAAAGAATACCCTTCAACATTTCATATAATCCTGGTTTGGTGTTGAGGAACTCCTTTAACTTTTTCTTGTCTGTGAAGTTCTTTATCTGACCTTCAGTTCTGAATGATAGCTTTGCTAGGTAGAGTAATCTTGGTTGTAGGTTCTTGTTGTTCATCATTTTGAATATTTCTTGCCACTCCCTTCTGGCCTGCATAGTTTCTGTTGAAAAATCAGCTGACAGTTGTATGGGTACTCCCTTGTAGGTAACTAGTTGTTTGTCTCTTGCTGCTTGTAAGATTTTCTCTTTGTCTTTTCTCTTGGCATTTTAATTATGATGTGTCTTGGTGTGTTCCTCTTTGGATTTCTTCTGTTTGGGGTCCTATGCACTTCCTGAACTTATAGGTCTACTTTTTTCACCAGGTAGGGAAAGTTTTCTATCATTATTTCTTCCATTAAGCCTTCAATATTCTGCTTGCTCTCTTCTTCTGGCACCCCAAAAATCTGGATGTTGGTACGCTTTAAGCCATCCCAGAGGCTCCTTATGCTCTCCTCACACTTTTGGATTCTTCTTTCTTTTTGCCTCTCTGGTTGGGTGATTTTTACTTTCTTATATTCCAGATCTTTGCTTTGATTCTTGGTGTATGTTGATCTATAGTTGAGTTTCTGTATATTCTTTATTTCAGACTTTGTATGCTTAAATTCTGGCTGGTCCTTTTCCTTTTTTTTTTTTTTTTTTTTTTTTTTTTTTTTTTTTTTTTTTTTCGTATTCTCATTAAGGTCCTTGAAGGTCTCACCAAGCTTCTTAGAGGTCTCATCAAGTTTCTAAAAGGTTTTTAGAAGATTCTTGAGTAACCTTATAAATGTGATTCTGAATTCTGTATTGTCCAGTAGTTTACTCTCCTCCATCTCTCCCATTCGTGTCATGCTTCTGTGTCTCCTCATTTTGGCTGCCTCTCTGTGTTGATGGAGTGGCTTTGTGTGGTTGGTGACCTATAGGGGTCTGTAGCTCAGCTTCCCCAGTCACCTGAGGTGGTCACTTTTGCTATATCCCTTTGTGGGCTTGGTGCACAGTCTTGGTGTAATTAAGCCTTGATTGCTGTTGGTACACTGGGAGGAATTGACCTCCAGGCCAATTGTCTGTAAGGATCCGCTGTGTCTATAAAGGAAGAACTGCTGCACTGGAGACGTGCCTTGTTTCAGTGGGGCTTTGGTGCTCACTGAGACCGTCTCCCGAATGTGTCACTTATGGGTGTGAGGGATTGAAACTGAGCACTACAACTCTGGTTTCTGGGTCTCATTGAGGTGCAGTTCAGCTACTGTCTGAGGCCAGTACTGTCACAGGAGCTACAGCGTGAACCACGGTCCTGTCCTCCTTGGATCTGTTTGCCCAGGTTGCAATTTTGCTAAACTGCAACAGAGAGGGCCATTCATTGCAAAGTCCGCAGCTTGGAGCTTGGATGTGCTGTGAGGGTTGGAATCTCAGGGCGTCACTAGGCTGGGGCATGGCCAACAGCAATGGCTGCTGTCCGCCGCCTCTCCAATGGCGTCCTCGTCTCCCTGCCTCTCGCACCACAGCACAGCAAACAATCTCAGCTCTGCAAGCAAGCCAGCCTCACTTTCTGACCTGATGGCAGTCTAGCCTCTCCCCAGAAACTGCATTTCAAGAGATCGGGCGCTTGTCTCTCTTCGGGTTGAAGAAAGCACCGCCCTCTGTGCACTGGGATCCACCGCCAGCCCTTATTGCATCCTCGCCCCCCACCTCAGTTTTTCAGCGCTTGTGCCCTGGATTCTCCTCTTTCTCCTTCAGTTTAGATGGAGGGCTTCCTCTCAGCCAGCTTTCATGTGGGTTTTGGAAGATAGACATTTGTTCTATAGTTGTTGTTTTTTTAAATTGTTGTGCCCTGCGGCCGTTTAGGAGTGTTTACCTACAATGTCATCTTCGTTCTCAGGCCTCTAGTTTTTTAAATAAATGTAAAGAAATACCAGTGGTATATTCAGGTAGTAACATAAAATTAAGGTATTTTGCTAAGTGGGTCGAATTTGGTCAGATACGTTGACTGAGTGCGCAGCCGGATGACAGATGTGGCGCAGGAGGCCAGGGCAGCGATGCCTGGGCTCACTCCCCGAAAACCCAGGACCTGCCTCCGTGGCCTTGTGTTGGCCATGGTGGTGGGTGAGAAGCAGAGCCCCGACTTGGACTTTTAGGGTGATTTCTCCCTTCGTGCAGCCAAACGGAGAACCGATCTCCAAAGTCAGCTCCACTCGGCTCCCGGACGTAACTGACCACAGAGACGTGACAGGGACTTCCTTTCCCGGGTGGAATGGCCGGTCCCTAACACTTCCTGTTTGAGGCATGCTGTCACCTCTCACTTCATGGTTGTGTTCATTTTGTCTCAGTGAAGAAGAAAAACTATGCATTTATGACAGAAGTGGCCTCATTCCACAAAAAGCTGCCATTTGGCCAGTAGAAATATATATGTTCATGATGTCATACACCAGCAGAGGATCTGAATGCCATCATCAACTTACAATTTTCTGGGAGAAAGCTCTCAAAAACAGGATGGCAAAGAAAGAATTGTTGGAATCTTTCAGCTCATTGAATTAAGAGTAAAAAGAAATATTTCTTAGCTTTCAAAAATAAATAGTATCTAAAAAATATCATAATTATTCTATTTCTTGATGAAAAATAATAAAAATATTAAGTTCATATATTTGACAACCTTTTGTTCTTAATCTCATATATCTATGCTAATTTTCTATGTAGGTATAGGTATGTATGAATATTTCTATATGTGTATTTCTATCAGAGTGATATGCAGGTATATGTGTGTGTATATATCTCACTGATACATAGATTACTATTTTTTTGTCTTTGAAAATACATATACAATCATGGTATATTTCATATTGGGCTTCAAAAATTATTTTTAATCTATTGGTTGCTATTTCATGCAGACACAGCTATTTGCATCAGAAACAATAAGTCATCACAGTTAAGCAATCTAGCAAACTACTCATGAGATTCTTCAACGTGTCAGACTTACTGGTGATTGCTCAGCTTCAAAGTGACTCATTGGGAGTGAAAACTGCTGCCTTGTTTTTCTTTTTCAGGATGAGAAGTGAAGATGGAAAACATTTTCATAAAGGATAATAGAGAGTCAACAAAGGGTTAAATATTCTTTAAATCTTGAAAGCCTTTTAGTCCAAAATCTGTCTTAGAGACTTCCTACACACTGGGGAAGAATTCACTTTTCCATTCACTCCACAAGTATGTTCTGTGCTGAGGGACGTGAACACATTCCGATGGGAAACGTATCATCAAAAAATATCACTTATAAACCTCAAGACAAAAAAAATCACTTATATCACAAAAAAATATCATTAA